ATGACTAGATGAAGGGTTTGAGCGACACCCATTCCCAACACACGATCCCTTCACTCCGCGTCCTGATATGAAGGGCTGGCAGGACACGATCAGGAAGGACATTCTTGAAGTCGAGGTGACTGCAGAAGATACTGATCGTGAGGAGAGAAGGAAATGGAGATGACCAACCAGAACAGTGGACAAAACACTACATCGTCGTGAGATCAGCTAGGGTAAAAACGGTGAAGTCATCTGAATTAGACGCACCTTTCATCAGTTTGGAAGGAATTCGGTCGAAATAAAACAACACCCAAACCATTACTGTCCAAATCATTCAAAGAATTGTATGGACTGTGCAATGTCCATACAATGTCCGGAGACCAGATGATGTAATACCGAGTTTTTTGACTACGAGAATGATATCATACCAACATTTTACCAACTGAATTAATTTTCGGACTGAAGGATGCAAAAACAGCCGAACTGATGAGAAGACTACGTGAGGATGTTGAAGGGGACGTGGGGAGGGGGAGCTCCTGGGAGTGCCTGGAAGCTCCTCCATTGATAGTGCTACACACATCAAATTCTAACGACCTGTAGAGGTTATGGGTGCTCCTGGTCACGCCGTGAAGGACAAACGACGCATAGTGGGTTAAATCGGCAATTTCTGACAGAACCATTTTCACTCCTTTTTTGGCCTTCACAAGGTCATTCAGCGGAAATGGACCATAGTTCTATACTCTGTGCTCATGCCCCTATACCATGCAAAGAACCAAATTCGAAAAGCGGCCCACGCCCTGAAAGACCTTCCTTGTAAGAGCAAAATTCATAAGAATTCTAGAAGGCGGAAATTATGGAGATCATAAACTCTATTAAGAGGCACGCTATTTAAAATATGTTATATACGGTTGGGGTCACTTCGCACCTAATGTGAGAAGACCTCAACCGTACAAACCCTCATCCCGATCGTACAGAAGTTCCCACACCCAAAACGAGTAGAAGTTCTCGATTACAAAAACAACGCTAAGAATAAAATTGAAAAATAAAAAAAGGCTACAGCATAACATGGCGTCATGTTGCCACCAGCTAGTACGCCTGCTATAGCCAGGTGTACTAAAATTCCTTACTATATATAAAGTGGTTGCGTCTCCCTGTTTGTTTGTTTGCCTGTACGGAAATTCGATATCACCTGAAAAACCACCTGCAGAAGTCGTGTCAATTTTGGGATGGGTTGGGCATAGGACAAGATCAACAGAGGACATGTGAACCCGACGGAGCTCCGCCCGCAGGAGGCGTACCATGCATGACTGCGGGTGGTGTCTTGAGCAAAACGTCCGAATTAAGTTTCAAAACAGCCCAGACGCCGGGGAAAAATTGGCAGAGGTGAGGGATGTGTCGACAAGTGAAATGAAGGAGACTCACTAGCGGTGGGCGGGATGTTCCCGCAGTGGGCGGTACTTACCACATAAGATCATAACTCGATTCAGCGGAAGCGTGGAGACCAGAAAGAAATAAACGAAGTGCGCAAGGCCCTACGCGTTCTGCACATACATACGCAAACTATGCCCACAGTCGGCGGGGCGTGCGTTCAAATGTTAGATCCTTTTTGAAAAACTAATAGCTGTGTTCAAAAATGTCCTGTAACGAGGAAAGTAGATGGTTAGTGGCCAAAACCAAGCAGTGGGCGGCGCTTGCACCAGAGTGGGCTGGGCTAAGATCAAAAATTCATAACTCTGTTCAAAAACATTCTAGAATATGGTAAAAGCGTGGTTGGAAGTAATGGAAGGAATGTGGCCGAATCCTCAAGGTGGGCGGCGCTTGCACCAGGGTGGGCTTGGCTACGAACAAAAATTCGTAACTCTGTTCAAAAGTGTTCTAGAACGCGGGAAAAAAGTAGATGGAGGGAAGGGAAGAGATGTGGTCGAATAACAGACTTGACTCGAGTTTGCACTCGGGTGGGCTGGGCTAAAATCGAAGATTCATAAGTATGATTAAAAACGTTCTAGAGCGGAGGAAATGGTTAGGGGCAGCTAAAAGAGGGTGAATTGAATTTTCAAAGTGGGGTCTGCATTGGGTGGACGTTGCCGTGTTCAACCATTAATAATTCTGCACAAAAGAAATATTTCAAACGGGATGCCGCCGAAGCGGTTCACTGGTCAAATCTAGAGAGAACTATCTTATGTGATAATCCAACACTGCGCTGACTCCATCGTGGATGAGCTGTCGTGGACATACAGTGCGTTTCATAATTATAAGGTCACCTCAGATTTTTGCGATTCTGGAGAAAGCAGCCGGAATGGAATTTTTTGGCAAACACTGGTAAATTCCTCATCACAATGAACCTCCGTACTCAAATTTTGGTCGCAATATCCTTCACCTCGAATTTTTTACGAATTTTTTAAAGATAGTGTCGGGTTTTGCACCGTTTCATAATTATAAGTCACCCTGAGAAAGTAAATGATTTATCAATGTTAATGGCATATGTACAACAGTTAATAATCTATAGCTCCTCCTTGTTTAAGAGCAATATCAAAGAGCCTAGGTGGCATACTAGAAACTAAGTTTCGAAGAGTTCCTCATCGATTGCTCTCTATGCTTCGATAATCGCCCGGTTCAGCTCTTCTGTGCTCTGGAACTGAGGGTTATTCGCATAAACCTGTTTGACTATTATGTCCCAGATATGCTCCATCGGAATGAGATCGGGACTGCAGGCTGGCCATGGCAGGATGCTTATTTATTGGCATTGCAGCCACTCATCCGTTGCACGGCTCACATGAATGGAGGCGTTGTCTTGTTGAAATACATAGTTGAGGTGACGGCGATGGCATAGAATGGGTACTAAATGATGCTCCAAGGCGTTCTGGTAATCCTTGCAATACATACTGCAGTTCACGACAGGTAGATCCAAACGACATCATTGCAGAATGCACCCTACACCATAGATTTCCTCCACAGAAATTGCGACGGCTGAAGTAGACTGATTCCTTCCTCAAGTCGCGCCAGTATCGCTTGTTTCCGTCAGGACCGTCCAGATTTAATTTTTTTTTTTCATCTAAAAAGGCGACCCCAATAGGAATTATTCAGCTCTATGGTGAGATTTTCATGCAGATCTACCCTTGCCCAATCTCTCCCCAGGTTCATCTTTGCAAATCCGAGTCGAGCCTCTTTGTGACTATCGGTGATTCGTGGCACCTTCTCCATTGCTTGCCTGGTGATGTTCTCGCATCTTCTCACTGCTCTCCAGACTTTAGTTTTCGACACAGAGAGGTTTAATTCCGATCGGATCTGGTTCAAGGAGGACGTGCTGTTGGAAACAGTCCTCAGAATTATCCGCTTGTCACGGGTAGTAATCTTTCATGGGTGTCTACAATCGGTGTTATATCTAACGACATGAGGACTCTCTAGAAACCTCCGAATGGACCAAGGGGATCTCTCTAATTGCCTGGAAATGGCTCGAGTACGGAGCCAACCTTCATGATGAGCCTTCTCATCAGAGGAAAGCAGATGACCACGAGCCATGTTGACAGTCAGATTTAGAAATGCATTCGCTACACATGCTTACCTTTATAAGCATCTTTAAACACGAAATTCCCTCTCTTCCATGAATAATTGTTCACTTTCTCGGGGTGACCTTATAATTATGAAACGGCGCAAAAACCGAAAACTGTTCTAAAAAAGTTCAGAAAAATGCAGCTGCGGCTAGAAAACGGATACCTAAATTATTCGTGCTGGGGAATCCGTTCATGATGCTAGAAAAATTCCTTAATGACTGCTTTTCTTGAAAAGTGCAAAATTTGAGGGTGACCTTATAATTATGAAACGCACTGTATAATGCATGCGATAGCGTGCATAGCCCAACTGGTATGGTATAATAGGAGTTGAAATAATAGGCGAAGAATACCTACGAGTTGCTGACAGAAATGATTCTGGTTCCCTTCTTGAATCACACCAGGATCATGATGCAAAATGCTCACGATAACTGGTGTAAATCTAGAAAGAAGAACCTGCTTTTTTGAATACAATTGCTCAACAAGCAACGACTACAGCAATGTAAATAAATTGGTAGATGGTTGCGAAATGAAAGCAGAACAATACTTGACGAATTTGCCAACAGAGATTAGGGGGAATAAACACTCGGACGAATAATGCAGTGAATAGCGGGGTAACGGTCTACATGACCATCAGCTCAATTTTAGACGTGGACTCATCCCAGCACCCTGGACAGGAAGAATTCCCTCCCGAGAATAGGGGATGGATGGGAGCCGCTCTTCTCTGAGCTCTCGCCAAGGTAAGGTCGCAGAGGCCAGTGCCATAATTGTTGAGGGCTGTCGATCTTTCACTTGTTTACGGGGAAAACTGACACAAAACAATGGAAAAAGGCAATTAAAACGTTGACGCCTTTCGCAAACATTTCCTTGTGCATCACATGATCCTCCCTTCCTGCAGTCTGGGCTTTATGCATACTGCCATTATAGCTATGGGAAAGAGGCTGGAGTGGTGGTTATTTTGAGAAAATGTGATCTTAGGGGGCGACAATCAATCACAGAAACGAAAATTCAATATGACGCGTTAGTCATACAAGAATTTACCGTAGAATAAATTGCATTGAACGCGTAATTTCACAAGCGGGACATTTTCTTTCACGGGCATACACTATTTGAATACACAGATCTTCAGCCGGCACACATACGATGCGTCAAAAAGGGACGTTAGGCAGAGACATCGGGCGAACCGCTCGCTCGAGGCAGGACCAATAGTCGGATAATTGTAAGACTGACGTGCCGTACTGAATTTTTTTTTTGTTATCTACTGCGTCGCACCCGCGGTGCACAGGTTGCACGTACAAGGCAACCAGTGCGGCCATGATTCGCTTCCATACCTTTTGAGGGCTAAAGTGAATGGCGATGCATGTGTACAGCTGCACGTTTGCCCTGCATACGATTTTTCCACTACACGCTCGCAATAAGCTGCAACCTGGTTCCCAGGCTACCGATGTCCTCTAGTCTGATGAATCGCACTTATCATAGGTTCCTCAGTAAAATTGTTCCACCAAACGATACGATAGTTGAGAACGCATCACTAGCAAGAAGAGATACCTTTTGGAGCAGTCTGTGATTAGGAAAAAGGCTGCACGTATGACCATCAGGGCCCATGCCAAGAAAAAGAATATCGAATCTCGGTAAACGTCCTATTTGTTCTGGGCACAACGCCGAGCGAAGTGTTGCCTCGTATTGCAATGCAGTTTTCGATGCTACAATGATGTCGTTTGATCGTATGGATATGGTGAAAGCAAGAAGAAAACAACACAAACCAGTTTCTGAAATTTCAATGGGTACAATGAACTGGTGACATTCAGGTGGGAGATTAGCCAGATATTGACCATAATTGCTGTCTGGATCCGTAGTTGGAACTATGCGTTCGTCCACCTTGGAAAAAAGTTATCGAATGATAGGAAAAAATGACTAGTGTGATTGTAATGAAATTAGAGCCTGTAAAATAATCGAGCGAACAAAAGGTTTTTTTCGACCAATATCACGACCCATTGATTGGTGAAATTGAGCGAAATACACTTGGTTAGGTCGCGCCAACATGTGGCGAATTTTGGTCCCCCCATTAAGCACACTCCTCTGTTTTTGAAGAAATGATCGGTCTTTTGTTTTCAACACTATAATTGAGATGTAATTCTTTCATACCCTTTTCCCCAAAATACAACGTGCAATGTGGGCAGGAGGTCACAACCTCAAATACTGAAAAAACAGTGAAATGGCGCTCTCAGATGACTGGGTGCTCTCACGATTAGCCCAAGCCCTTCCTTACCTGTTAAACGACCCCACAAAAGATCTAGAAAACTTATCCAGATCAGTAACTTTTGACTTTATCCCTTTGACGACGATGCGGATTTCGACGTGACGCGTCCAAAGAACGACGCTCCCCTCCTTTCGCGATCAACTGCCACCCACCGGTGGGTGGCACTTTCCCACGAGAAAACTTTTTCACTGGCTTACTGAATTTCGCAATTGGTATGAAACAAGTAAGTATGGTGACACCCAAAATTGGGCGCCAGTGCCCCATGCGCCAGTCATAGTGGCACCCACCGGTGGGTGCCATTGTCGTCAACTTGACTTTTGACTTCTCATCGCAGTTGAACATCCCTCAAGTAGAAGAGAATTCAAACAGAAAAAAGGAAAAATGGTGAATTTTTAGGTCGTGGAAGAAATTACTGGCGAAATGTCTTAAACTGAAACAATCATCATTTGAATTGGAAGTTTTCTCCGCGATGTATCGGATTATTTCAACTCAAAAATCATAGATAGGGCTAGATAGAAGATCTTCGTTAGTCTACCAAGCGTTGTTCAGAGATTCTAAGCCACAAAAAGGTTCAAATCTGATGAATGCGAAACAGAAACCATTCCTTGCCAAATCTAACACAAATTTCTGGGACCGGGAATATAGTTTCAAACGCACCTAATCAAGCTCGCCTCCCACCTCGGCGCGAAGTGACCTCAATTAGGTGCAAAGACTACGCTATAATTATGCTACCCGCACTCGCTACTAATCGTGATAAAACTTGTCAACTAAAGAGGGTAATGACAGTTTAAAAGAGTGGAGTATCTATTTAAAAAAAGCTTTTCCAAGGAAAAATTCCAATATTAATTCCAACGGTCTTGAGAGTTTTATTTCCATGCATAATTAATAAATTCAACAGATTTGATTCCAAGTTCTAGAAATGGACAAAATAGTTCAGCTCACTTTTTTTCGGTATTTTCGCTTATTTACGATATTAAACAACCTTTGCAGAAGCGAAGAAATTCTCTAGAGTTGTTTAATATTGGGACTACTCCTCATTGATAGGTCAATGCATGCCCTACGACTCACCATTCAAGCGCTTTCACATATTTTACGGCACATAGCAAGTCTTCAGGCTAAATCCAGCACGTTAAAGAGAGATCATCGAGGACTATTCAACCAGGCGGGTGAGTGCTTTAACTACCTTTGCTTACTTTATAAGACATTACCACGTATTCTAGAGACGCACTGTTTCGATGAATTAACAGGGTGTCCTCCCGCTCCAAAATATTTGGGAGTGCGTGGTCCATGTGGCCCATTTCCTCCACTTCCGAGCTTTTCACTTTAGCTCCGGAAGCCCCAGCGCTACAAAACAATTTTTCAGAAGTACTGCGTCTGCACAGACATCTCCGATGCAGCTGGATCCTGCATCACAACCTTCGCCCACACGTCCTGCACCCATACTGCCTTATCGAATGCAGCTGAACTGATCGCAACCTTCTTTCTATACGTTTCCTGCACCCGTATAGCCTTCTCCAATGCAGTTGAATTCCGAGACACAGCAATCGCTCTGCGCGTTTCCTGCACCTACAGCCTCCCATATCACAGAAACTTTAATCACAAAATATATTAAATTTATTAATTATGCATGGAAATAAATCTCTCAAAACCGCTGGAATTGATATTGAAATTTTTCCTCTCAAAAAACTTATTTTTTAAAGAGATACTCCATTTTTTACCTGTCATTGTTCTCTTTAGTTGACAAGTTTTAACTCGATTAGCAGCGAGTGCGGGCAGCATAATTATAGCGTAGACTTCGCATTTAATCAAGGTCACTTCGCGCCTAGGTACGAGGCGAGCTTGATTAGGTGCGATCGAAAATATATTCGCACACCCCAATTTTCTGCAGCTCATCTCTATATTTGACACGAAAAGAATTTTTTGGTTGAAAAAAATCATTTCCAAATCATGCTGATTGCAAACTCACCATCAGCACATCGCGTTCCAAGCTACTTCGACTAGTGATCTTCTGGAAGGAATCAAAAATGAAAACTCCAGAGATAGCGCTTTACAGAGCGCACTACGCTTCCACTGTGCACTCTACAGTGCGTCGCCCAAATGATACAGCCACCCCTAATTTCCCCAAAAGCTCACAGTATTTGATGTTTCTGAAAAACTGCCAAAGTAAAAAATGTGTCAAATTTGAATTGCAATTCGC